ATGAAATGTATTTTAAAATGTAATTTATTCCTGTGATGCAAAGCTGAATTTTCAGCATCATTACTCCAGTCTTCAGTGTCACATGATCCTTCAGAAATCATTCTAATATGCTGATTTGCTGCTCAAGGAATATTTCTGATTATCAGTGATGAAACCAGTTGGACTGCTAATAGAAACTGTGATACATTTTGTTATTTAGGATTCTTTGATGAAAAGAGTGTTCAAAAGAACAGCATTTATTTGAAATAGATTTTTTATTTTTTTTGCAATATAAAATCTCCTATTGTCGGATTTGTTGTGAGAGACAGAGGGAGTCTAGAGTTGGAGCGGGATCTCACTGCTAGTCCAGAGGGCTGTCATCTCCTGTCTGCATTCGTCAGCTGCTGCACTTTCAGCCAGGACGGCTCAAGAGGCTCATGGGAGCTTGTCTTTGAATCTAATTTTGGGCTGGATGAACAAGAGGCTCTGGGAGACCAGAGCATCCCGGCCAATGTCATCCGCAGCAGATGGAAACAGGCCCTTGAATGGTGGCGAACTGCAGGGGTGTTTGTGTTAGCAGTCTCAGACTGTCTGACTATCACCACCCTTCCTGGCACGACTCAAGCGTTTAAGAGTTAATGCTGCACTACTGAAAGCGGTCTGCTGACTGGGAAACATTTCAAACAGTACTTTTGCGTTTGATGGCATTTTAGTCCCCCCAAATCCCCTCCCAATCATCATCATTAGCTCTATTTGCATATATTGACTATATGTTAAAAATTCTGACATTATTAAATATTCTGACATAAGCAGATACATGAAGAAGAAGAAATGAGTGAGGGTTATCATTAACTAAAACTAACACTATAAAAAACATTACTTGAAATGAAAAAATAAACGAACTATTTTTAATAAAAATTAAAAACAAAAGACAACATTTCTCATTTTCATTATTTTAAGTTGAAGTACTAAAACAACTAAAGCTAAATAAATTAAAACACTATGTAGACATTTGGGGGAGGGGGGGATAATGACAAAAACAC